AGTTTCATGTTTTTAATGTCCGGTATACATGATTTTATACTTAATATTTGCACACTAATCGCTATGCCACTAGTTTGTTTCGTATAAAAAATTGCATTTGCTACTACACCGATAGTTATTTCCTTAAATTACGATTACTGTTGTTTGGCCAGCAAATTAAAATTACAAATAAAATACGTCTATTAATCTGATGCTTTTTTTATTTCTTTTGGTGTTGATCGAGAACTTAACTAACAAGTTAGTGAACACCCCTTTTGTGGTTGGAAAAGAGTATGAGTAAAACAATACATGATTCCATTAGCGGTCAGGTAGTAGATAGAAACGATTCATTCAAAGTAATTTATCATATTTCTGCTTTTTTTAAAAGGGTTCGATCTCGTCTCCTACATAAGAAATTTTGAAGTTATCCCCTCTTTGGACAAGAAGGGGTTAAAAACGATTTTATTTCTTAATTTCCGTAACATTTGTTCGTTTACTTTTATTCACCTGTTTTTCGTTTATATTCTTCACAGTTTATTCATATGAACACTTATTGTGTAACTTGAATGCTTTTTAACAAATGTTATTTTAATGTTTATTTTTCCAAGTTTCTGATATACTTCCTATTATCAGACACTAGTCCAAGCCTTTATTATTCTTATCACAACTAGTACATCTGTCATCACACTATCAATTTGTACTTTTCCATTATTAAGTTTAGTTGTATAGTTTATGTTGCTGTCACTGCTGACTCATAAACTGTCTTGATTGTTGGCGTTCGAAACCGAGGGTCCTGGGTTTGATTTCTGCCTACGTGGTCGTGTATGCTCTGCTGAGCAGTTTCATACTAGGGTAAAACGGCCGTTCGATGTTTTCAATGATGGTATAACGTAGATCAGTCTAGGATTTTAATGAAATTCAATCAACTTCACAACTGTATACTTACAATATTGTAAGCTTACATGTGTTTGTGAATGCTTACTCCTGAAGAGTCCCACACTAAAACAAAACCATTGCTCAATGCTTCCTGTTTTTCAGTGGTTGTCTTGTTATAGTCAGTCCGTGATGTGAACTACAAAACAGAACTTTCATTGCCACGTCTGTATATATGCTTAAACGTACTAAATTATTCTCATACTTAGTGAGGTTACAATTTTTACTGTCTGAAATCTGTTGCATTGGAATTTGAGGCCAGTGATTAACTCAACTACTAAATTAATTCCATTGTTAACCAGTCAATCAAAGCTTTATAACAGTTTATGACTTACAGTACACATTCCTACATAGTGAACTTTATTAGTTTTGAAGTTTATACGAGTGTATATTAACAGGTAAATGTCCATCTTCCTTAATAAATGTCATCTAAATGTTAATTATTATTCTCTCTTACACAATAAAAATTTCTTTTTCTAACCATCAGTTGAACATATATATGCCATTCAATTTTATTTCTAAAGGCACTTTGTTAGCGTATATTTTTGTGGGTGTACCTCTTTAGAGATTGACAACAACATTTCACGCGTATGATCATATATATGTAGTGAATGAAGTTTGAAAATAGATTTGTGACCCTTTTAGTTTTGTGCTATTTACGCTCAAAGTTTAAGAAAAAAAGAGGTGGACGACTCCGTAGTGTATTGGGTTTGTCGAAACTTGGTAATAGTAGAGATGAAAATTTTATCATCATATGTTTCCATAATTATTCCTCCTTGTGTTATTTTATTATTTGATGTCATAATGTCATCCTAGTGTAAAGATTGACACTGAGATGCTGGTAGATTCAGTCCCAAGTAGGATAAAACATTCTTCCTGAATTCCAACTTTAGCAGAAACATATGACAAAATGGTAGTATGAAAGTGGTCCACTTAGGATGCATGTTTTCTAATAAACACTGATCGATTGCAAACCTTAACACCGACGACCAGAAAACACAAATGTTTACAAATAAATCTAATACCTAGTAGTTTTAGAACCTTGGAAACAATTAATCTGCAAATCAAATTTTTGTTTTGTTCATTCAGATATAAAAATGTGTATACTTTATTTACCTTAGAACCAAAAAAAATGGGCCAAAAGGTTGAAGCGAGTAGGGAAAAAGTTATTGGTTCCACTCTCACACATAGATATGCTTGTTGTTAAACTAGTCCGCTTCCAACTGCCGTAGTCTAGTGTTGAGTACTGAACGAGCTTTATCGACCAAGCCGAATGTTAGCTACTATAACTAGTCTCAGAAACTCAAGATCACAATCTACCGTGTTTAGTATTCAAAGGATGGAAGTGTGAGGACGGCCCACGAGTGAACTCAAGGAAGTTCTAAGCTGGTTAAAAATTGCCAGACATTCCATTCAATCATATTTTGGAAGAACACCCCAGAATCTCGACTTGTAGCTTCCCTGTTGGACAAATGCTAAAAACCGCTGTATGAGGATTGGATGACTGTAATGATGATTTCATTTTCACTAAAGACTACAAATACCTGGTAGTTTTGTACCATATTTGACATTGTTTGGGATAACATCCCTTCTCACTCGTCTTCTGTCTTGTAACTTGCGACTTGGAGAGTTCTAGCGTTCAAGCGCTCAAGTAGTATGCGCTATAGCAAGAATCTAAGCTCTAGATATAACAGGAATTCAATCTGTTCCAAGTCTCGACTAAAGGTTTCTTCATAAAACATCCACTATGATTTTATGTTTTTTTTTCTATTAATTCATGTATCTATCAATTAAATTTAATATAGAATTAATTATGATCATTGCCTAAGTTCATATCATCAATAGCAACGGTTTAAATTATCCAGAAGCTCAATAGATAAGGTGTTAGCGTTTGAATCCCAATAAGAAAACTAGTACATCTAGCTGATAACTCCTAAAGGAGACGAAACGCGAGTCTTAATTTGAACTATCGATAGGGTTTGATTAGAACTGAGGAATGAACTACATAATATTAACAACTAGTCATTTTATTAACTTATCAATCAGTTTTACTAAAGTATTTGAGTTAATTACTGTTTATTTGTATATTGTGGTTATGGCTAGCAGTGGAATCCCAACTCGAGTTTCGTACAATATGAAGCTCGTCAGCTGGGACATACCTCCATCATAGTGTATTGACGTTCATACTGATATTCAAATCTAATTCCTACTGCTTAAAGCTACAATCCGTTATCCACTGAGCCATTGATTCAAGTTATCCATTACCTTGTCCAAACGTTTACCAGTGGAGTTTTTTTGCTTATGATTGATGCTGAACGAAAAATTTCGACTGAATATGAGCCCCAAGAGTTGCTGTTCTATGTTGCTAAATTTATCCACAACATTTCTAATTTTCAATAAGGATATTTTATCAATAGCTTTCGGTCATATTTCTTTTCATTTAATGAATGAATGTTGTATATCGAAGGGTGACTTGCATCAAAGATTTCATTTCAAACATCTGAAATTATATATAACTATCTGTTATGATCATGTTCGTGTATTATGGTGCAACCCTTACATTCTGCATTACAAAACAGTGACAATACAGTGAAAGTGAAGTCTCGAAATGAAATTTCTGGTGGAAATTGGGGTATAACGTGAACTATTTATGTCATCAAATAAATATAAGCGTCCGATAGGGATAGATATAACAAACTTGTTGGATATTGAAAAGGTTACGAACAACCTCAGCCTGGACAGATTTAACTGACAAGAATTGTTAATCGTTTATTATGATTATGTCATTCCAACAACAAAATTCAGTATTTAACAATAATACATGAAATTTATCGTTTTTTGGAAACTGATTTCTTTTGGTTTTTTATTTTAGGCTTTACTTAATAAATTTCTCGACTTTGATACATTTGATTTGCAAGAATATGAACATTTTGAGGTAAGTCGAATATTTGTTTTTCTGTTTTATCATCTCTACAAATCTTTCATTTTTTAAAATAATTTTACAGAAAGTAGAAAATGGTGATCTCTCTTGGATAATACCGAATAAATTCCTTGCGTTTTGTGGACCACATTCACAAACGAAGATAGAAAATGGTATGTTGATTTTAGACTTTAAAACTCTAGGGTTTAAGTAAATAGTTGAATTTTTATAAGGTACATAATAGACTTATCTTAGAAAACCACTGAAAACTAGGAAGCACTAGAAATTTATTTCGTATGGAACCCCTTAGTGGTCACTATTCATTAGATACCGACTCACAGGTCTACAGGTTAAGTGCTCGTCATGATACCGATGGTCTTAAGTTTGACCCTCAATGGTTACCCACTTCCAAAGGGTTCAGTACTAGGATGAAATAGCTATCTAGTGTCTTCTAGCCTTCACTGATTTGTCTGAGATCAATCTTTAATAAGAACTGTATAAAGATTTGTTTTTCTTATTACATTGTAAGTGATTGAATATTATTATGAAACACTTAATTGAAATAAGAATTTGTAGTCTGTGGGCCAAGAAAAATTTTCTTTCATGTAGCTACCATATTTATTTAGAAATAAATCATTATCTTCTGCCAGCATGTTATTAATTTATAGGCTACATTCATTATGTGCAGACCAGTACTGTTATTAATACCATTTAAAAAAGAATATTAGTCCGATCTGTTTATGTTGAAGCTCCAATTTCGAAATTATGAATCCAGATAGGCATCATTATGAGATTTCATGGAGGGTAACATGATGAAAGTAGTCCTTTTTACTGTTTCCAAGCTTATAGATTTATTCGGAGTAAATGTTTTGATAAACGTACATGCCAGATAAAATCATCAATACTATTACAGTGCAAAGTTTTAAAAGTTTACGTATGATGACATGTATGTAACTAATTGATTTTTTCAAAAGTATCAAGTGTAAACTTGCATGTTTTATTTAAAATTTATGCAGTATTTTCTTCTTAGACCACTTTACTACCACCGGTGGTTAGTTAACTAGAAATCGATTATATTGTGGCATTGTAATGAATGCTATTTATGCTGACAGATATAAGTAGTATGTAGCAGCAATCTGAAGTGGACAGCAAAAGGTTGAATTGAAGAGAATAGGAAGCGAAACAGAGAAAAAGTAATAAAAACAGAGTCGAAAGAATCATAAAGTATGTAAAGGACAACTGAAGGAAAATGTGCAAATAATGTATTTAATGTATGCTTTTCATATTTTACGAAGGCACTGTAATTTGGCATTAGACAATAAATTGGTTTTCCCCACCTAAGTTTTCGTTCACATCAGTATTACTATGCTTATGGTTTTAAATTAAGAGAATACCAAAAAAAGTATTTTACTTGTTATTGTGTGTGGGATTTATTAAGCGGTTGTGTTAGAATTATTAAAACGTTGTTCATATATTAAAATTAGAGTCTGCTGTTGCCTAAATGAAAACATAATTCAACAAGGTTTGTAAAATATATTAATTTATTTGTTGTCAAGATTTTATTTAAATCTTTATCATGTTATTATCCGCTCGAAATACACACTTTCATTTAAACCTACTATTGAAAGCGTTCTCTGAAATTCCTTTGCTTCATTGCGTAAATGTGCTTTTAAGCTTAAATTGATTATGTTTATTGACGTTTTATTTTCTGTTGATTTACACTACATTTGACGGAATGAACTCACTTATGTTGTTTTACCAATAGTTTCAACCCATTTAAGTTAGTAGAAATTGTATAGCAGCTTCTATCACATAGTCTTACGTTAAAGCTAGTTCATCTGATGCTTCATAAGTTTTTCCTTTCCCAACCTGGCTATTCGACGTTGTTAGTACACTTGGAGAACAAATAAAATCTTACAATGCGGAAGGTGATAAAACTGTAACATGGATAAAAGGTTACCAAGATGCCCCAAGTACCAGTTCCAAGCGGTCGATTGATTAATCAGTGTTGGATCACCGTTGACCTCGACCAGTTATGAAAAGTAACTCAACGTTCAGTGATTAGTTTTCCTAGGCTGAAATACTTTCAGTATTACTGACTAGTTTGCGTAGACTTCAGTAATATTTCAATGTTCTTACAATCTCTTCATTAATTAACATTTGCTTATTTGAATGATTGAGATTAATCTATTCGTTTGTTTGATTTTATTTCACTTATATAGGTTATCCTCTACATTCACCAGAAGCTTACTTTCCATATTTCCGTAAAAGAAATGTAACCACTATAATTAGGTTGAATAAAAAAGTTTACGATGCTAAGCGTTTCACCAATGCTGGCTTCGCTCATTATGATTTATTTTTTACTGATGGGAGTTGTCCATCTGATCATATAATGAATCGATTTTTAGAAATATGCGAAAATGTTACGGGAGCAATTGCTGTACATTGTAAAGGTTAGTTTTTGTCTTATCGAAATCTGTTTGTTTTTTAAAGCTTGACTATGCAAAACATTGTAACATTTGGTCTGTACTGAATTATTTATTCTTCATCATTATATATATATATATATATATATATATATATATATATATATATATATACCACCTTAGTCATTATTTGGCCTATACTGCAAGAACTGATCGTAATCAGATGTACAGTATTTGAATGTTTAATCCTTAAATTATTTAAGTAAATTAGGCTAATTATTAGACCAGTTTGCTAAGATTTTTTGCTTCTATATTATTTATACTTCTACATACATTATATTGGATGCTGTTACTCAACAAATTACTGCATTATGTAAATTAATATTGTACCTAATGTAGTGCCTTTAATATAGTTTCGTTCATTCTGGGATGCAGGTACATCCAGCTGATGAGTCTGAAATAGGATGAAACGCATGTTTTGGATTTCACTGCTAGCCACCATTCATCTCTGCTCACTAAATTCTTTGATTTGATTTTTGTACATATTGTTTTATTTGAAAATAATTTATATTATCATACAAGTTCAGTTTGCCGAGATGATGAGGTAACAATTAATTACAGGTGAATTTATTCCACGCTTTTTAATGTCAGTTGGTCAATCGATTTTTCTATCAAGCTGATTGTTATTTTATGGAATGTATCTTGTTAAATAGTGATTTGGTATTTTACTTTTTTTGTTGACATGGTCATATACAAATACTTGATAGAGATAATGAATTTATGTCAATCATGTAAAATGTTTATAAATAGTAAATTATTAAAACTCTGTTGCCGAGATTCAATCACTAAATATAATTCCATCCAAGAAATCAAGAAAAATATCTTGTATTTATCAGACATGATTTCATTCAGTTAACTTTGGTAATTATTGAATGTGAACTTCCTGAACTTCGATTTTCGATTTAACTTTATTGTTTTATCAGAATGGGGACTTGTGTAGATTGTAGTAATTTTAATGGTTGAAATCATGAATCAATCTAAGCTACACCATCATTGAAACTTGGAAGAACTGGACGGCCGTTTTCTCTTAGTATGCGACTCCTCGACAGTGCCCGTCCACTATGCCGCACGCTGGACTCGAACCCAGAACCGTCGGTCTTGTGCGCGAACGCCTAACATTTAGACCACTGAGCTGGCATCACAAAAGCGTTACTGTTTGCTTTTGAGATAATATTTGATCAGTGTGATAATCAAAATCCACTGAATTTTTATCGTTTTATAACTGATTGCTCTCGAATGTTATTTGAAATCTTCTTGTGGTCATTGTTAAATAAATTTTCAAGTAAACGGGGTTATATGAACAGTTTGTTGTATCATTGTTCAAAGTGTCGTCAAACTATTCACTGTTACTGTAAATATATCGGACTCATGTTTAATTATAATAAAATCGTAATTATTCACTTATGAGATAGTGGAGAAGATTTGTAGCTCAGGTGGATTATTTTGACGGAGTTTTGTTCTTTGGGCTGGATGGTTTGATCGTGGAGCTTCCATTGTTTTTCTGAACATCACCAGCACAAGCACAGACTTCTACCTGAAGTTTGTGCTGATGATGTTCAGAAAAACAATGGAAGCTACACGACCAAATCATCCAACTCAAAGAACAAAACTCCATTCAAATTATTCACTTATACCTACAGATATATCAATAACACAGATTGAAGAAACATTATTCATTATATACAATGATGTTTAGTACATTAAATTGTATTTAAAGATCTTATTGTCCACATAATAAGGTACATTGGAAGTGATTTCCAAATTGATATTGGAAAGTTTTTCCCACTTAAAATCCTTTTTTTTTCAACGATCATTCAAATAACTGATAACTTCTTATTTCATGGACAACCTCAACCTAGACAGTATTAACTAACAAAAACGTCAATAGACAATAAATCTGTGTTGTTATTTAACTTTTCAGTTCCTAATAGGTTATTTGATTTGTTTCACTTTGTTTGGTTAATCAATAAGTCATAAGTAACCTAAAGTCTGGCATAGATGTGAATTTCAACATTTCGATTCTTTTATCTTTTATTTTAAATATTAAAAAAAATTCAGCTGGTTTAGGTCGTACTGGTACACTGATTGGATGTTATTTAATGAAACATTATAAACTTACTTCACGTGAAGTGATAGGTTGGATTCGTATCTGTCGTCCTGGTTCGATTATTGGACCACAACAACATTGGTTAGATTTAAAACAACCAATTTGTTGGCAATTTGGTGAAATTTACAGAGAAAATCAGCGTCAATTAACAACAACACATTTAGCAGAATCATCCATGAGTAGTGATGAAGATTTCAACGTAGCAGAAACAGTAAAATTACAAAATACTGTAAAGAAAAATGATTTATTAACGTATAGATCTTCAGAAAATGGATTATTAGTTAAGAATGGTAGAATCTGTAAATCTGTTACTCCAGTACCATTGGTTAGGTAAGCATTTTTTTAATACACGATAATTTATTTATTTAATTCATGTTTTAAATTATCCCGTTGTTGTTATTTTGACTTAAATTTGGTTAATTTTGACATATGTTCATTCTGTTGTGATTGCCTGTATATAAACACTGTGAGGTAGGTTTACGTAAAATAAATAGAATATGTCTAGCAGTATAATTTACGACGCACGTTTCGTCCTACTTGGGACTCATCGTCTGGATGTATTTCCATCTTAAAGTTAACGTTTACTCTGGTGGAAATGAGTGGCTAAACGGATAACGGGCTGACGTTTATAGAGAAGGATTCTGAATTGAGTCCTGGATTTACCATAAACTTTAGGATGTGGGCAAATCCAGCTGATGAGTCTCAAAAAGGGCAAAGCACACACTGTGAATTCCACTGCTAGCGATATTCTGTCTATTTTATATAAGTTCACTTAGTATTGAAACAGAAAATATTGATTTTGATGGTATTAGGTTATCTGATGCTCGCAGTTTGATTGAGAAGCTTTCATTATCGTTCTGGAAAACGCATGAATGAGGGGCTGATAATGTCCAGAAAAACCATGATATTTCAACAACTACGATATCTAGCTCAGAGAACGCAACACCATCTAAAGTAACCATTTAAGTTGCAAATCACATCAAAGGACGAAATTAATGTATGTATCGGATAATACTTCATTGATCCCAATTGAATTAATTCACTGCAATCTATGTTTAGGAAAATTATGTGGGCTAATTAGTCGTACGGTATTGCCATGAATCTACGAACCTAGGTTTGGTGCTGCTTAACAATGCTTAGCAAAGCAGATCTGTAATCATGAGGAAACTGATGCTTTAGATTTGGTTTCAAAGCACATGTTTTTCACCGTCGTAGACGCTTACCACAGTTCTGTTTGTGTAGAGACTAACGTCTCGTTGAGCTGATTCCTGAATCCTAACAAATGTCATGTTTTTTCAATACTTAGCATTGATGAAATTCCATAATAATACAAATTACATTATATATGTTATGACCTTGATGTCTGACTTTTCGATCACGCGATTTATCTACCAATCCGAATACGACTTATACGAATCTTCACACTAGGCCAACCAATGACGTTCAACCGGTGTGGGCAGTTTAGCGTCCTTATTGGTCCTATGTCCTACGAGCCCTTCCACTTGAGTCCAGAACAAGATACCGGCTTCCGAATCAGAGCAGATCAGACCAGATCGTTTATTTCAAACATACTCAGTTTATATATCAACCAGACAGACCGCAACGTACCATAAAATAGGAAATAATATTTGTACACAAATAAGCCCAAAAAGTGGCTGTGAATGAGGGAGGCAGTAGTTAATAAACTGAACATAACTTAAGAACCGTAAATCGTACAATAATAAGTTATAGGTCAAAATAAAGCTTATCATAAAAGGAATATAAATATACATAGTGTAATTGTTGAGTAGTTATACAATAAGAATAATTATAGAATATTAGTCCATGAATAGTCCTCGGAAGTTACCTGTAATTTAATCTCCACTCGGATATAACAATATAGTTACATAAAGATTCAGATTCATCAGCAATAGATCTAAATAGGTAACATAATTATATATTTAATTAACATATTAGAACTTTTTATCATTCAATCTTCTTACCTTAAATTAGTATTTAGCTTCTGGTGCTTCTTAAATGATGTTCTATCATGGATGCCACCTAATGCACATTGGTATATTCTTCTGATAAACGTCTGTATACGGATACTACCAAACGAATATTTAGAATATTTGTTTACGACTTACTCAAAAACAACAACACTTTTCAATTTTCCTCCTGCTATCAGTACGGGGTTGTGGAGTGAGGTTAAAAAGGCTAAAAGTAATCTAAAGTGAGGGATAGTAGCAGGGCATCATGGACTAAATCCTGCGTTTTTAAGGGTGGTAGTCCAATTTCAGCAGTTAGATTAACTGAAATCTTAGCCAGAATGTGGGAACTGGACGTAATCCCGTCTGACTGGTCTCTATCTCTGATCGTCCCAGTCTATGAGAAGGGATAAAAGCCCTTTTGTGACAACCACAGAGGAATCAGTTTAACTAAAATAGCGTCTGAAATATTAGCTTTAATGATACTTTGACGTCGAACTAGAGCACGTGAAGAGCAAACCCAAGAAAACCTGGCTGATTTCAGACCGAACGTAGAAGTATAGACCATTTATTCACCCTTCGGCAGGTTATAGGACATAGATACACTTTTTAACGTCCGACTATAATTGTGTTCCTTGACACTAAAGCAGCCTTTGACTCTGTTGACTGTGAGGTTCTGTGACAATATCTGTCATTGAAGGACGTATCAAAGAAGTAAATTAACGTTGTACAGGTCCTCTACTCAGTCAGTCAGTCAGTCAGTCAGCTACAACGTAGGACCAGGCACATAAGTGCATCGGTTCAGGTTGTCATACCACATCAGCACAACAAGATGAACACCGGATTCATAGCAGTGGTTGGGTCAAAGGTGGTAATATATAAGAGAAAGACTGCATATAGAGATATAGTACAAGAAGAAAGAATTGGTTCGTAGAACGAAAGATATAAAGTGATTTTAATCTTTAGTTTAAGGGAAGACAGAGAGTGTATACACCGACGCCATTGTGATCGATTCTGAGCCATGTCACCAAGAGTCTCCAACCATTGGTTGCGAAAGTCACGCGGACCCCAACCAAGTAGTCTGCATCTACCAACATGGCTCAGACTAGAAGTTAGTGTCTTCAAGCACTGATGCCACGTTTTGGTTTGGCCGCCCCTAACTTCCTTCCAACCATCTCCAATACCGGATAGCATTGCACTTCGTGGTAATCGGTGTTCAGGCATACGTAACACGTGGCCCAACCATCTCAGTCGATGAAGATTCACAACCTCATAAACTGATTTACCACCATTCCCTAATACCCTAAGCCTAACCTCACTATTACGTACCCGATGATCCCAGCAGATGCGAGCAATATTTCTAAGACATCTGTGGTCAAATACCAGTAACTTACGAGTATCTTCTACTCTTAATGGCGATGTTTCGCAGACGTAAAGTAGAACAGAACGGACTGCCGCGCAGTATACTCGTCCTTTTATTGATAGACGGATATCTCGCCTTCGCCATAGGTGACGTAAGTTGGCAAAAGCCAATCGAGCTTTTCGAATCCGTGCTGAGATTTCGTCGGACACCAACCCATTAGGGCTGATCAGACTTTCGAGATAAGTGAAGTTGTCAACGTGTTCGACTACTTCACTCCCTATCCTTAGTTCAGGTATTGACGCAGACCAGTCCTGAAGCAACAACTTGCATTTAGAGGGAGAGAAGCGCATTCCAAACATTCTGGCATTGTTGCTTAGTGCTACCAAAAGACCCTGCATTTTATCAGCGTCTTCATCAAACAGGACTATGTCATCTGCGTATTCTAAGTCGATAAGTGGACCTCCTGGAAGGAGATCAATACCCGAGAACTCAGTCGACGTGAAAGTTATTTCCATCAGTAGATCTATGATGAAGTTAAACAAACATGGGGAAAGTGGGCAGCCTTGACGGACACCACTTGAGGTTGCAAAAGTAGATGACAGTTCGCCATAAGCTCTGACTAGTCGAGTCAGAGCTTATGGCGAACTGTCTTAGGAATTGATTACTTCAGGGCTATCTGCTTTCCTCATCTTGATTTAACTTTGTCATATAAACGTTTTAGAGATAATGCTTTTATCATCTGACTTTTCAGGTATTGATTTTTACCAGGAGATTCAGTTGTTGACTTAGAATATGCAGATGATATTGTTCTGTTTTGTGAAGGCGCTGACAAAATTTAGTTTTTTGACCACCTTAAACAAGAATTCAAGTATGTTTGAGGTGCATTTCTTCCTCATTCCAAATGTAAACTTTTACTTCAGGGATGGCTTTCATCATCACCCGAATCAATGATAGGAAGTGAAGTAGTTGAAGACACCGACCGATTCACTTGTCTTGGAGGTCTCATCAGTCTTGTTGGTCTGGTATCTAATGTAATCTCGTCACGGATTCAAAACGGTCGGATGGCATTTACCGACTTGCATCACTTGTGGCATAGGCAAGATATTTGTCTTCTCACCAAAGGGCGAGGTTGCTGTGCAGCAGTTCGTTCCGTTCTACTTTATGAATGTGAAGTATAGCCATTAGGGATAGAGAATATTCACAAATTACTAGTATTCAATCACATTTGTTTGGGTGTCTTGGAGGCACAGAGTACTACGTAGTGATGAGAAATCGTTTGATGGGGTAGTGAATTTCCATCAACTGAGGTGGTTGGGACATGTGTTACCTGTACCTCGTCACTGCCTACCTCGACGGGTGTTGTCTGGTTTAGGAGTGGGCTGGACGAATCCGAGGGGCGGTTGAACCAAAACGTCGCATCACTCCATGAGGTCATTGCCAATTCGATTGAGCCATTTTAACAGGTGTAGAATAATTGATTGAGGCCTACATGATTATCCTAACCAGTGGTTAGAGACTTTGAAATACAAGTGCATCCGTTCTTTGTCTTCCCCCAGATTATACTCTTCGGAATGCCTCATAATCTTTTTTCAATTCACCAATTTAGATTTTCTCGAATCGTACCTTCGGTGAGTAATCTTCTTTATTATCATTGGTACTGTTACTACCTACGTTATTCCGGGATTTGACCTGATAATTTCATCGTGTTGTGCTGATAGGATATATGAACTTGAACCAATGTACACACTTACAAGGTTCTACGTTGCGACTGATTGACTTATGTGACTAAAACTAAGTAACTGGAATTCAGGTATGAATAACGCAGACTGTATTGATACAATTTGCAGACTGGAAGTGAAAGTTAGAACACAATATAATAGAATATCAGAGATACAACTGAATTACTAAAGATTCAAACTGACAAATAATAAGTGATCTGGAACATATCATATGAATAAGTACTGCATTTATTTGAGTCAATTACAAACTGATTGACACAGAAGGGTGAAGGTAAGAGAATGAAATACAGTTAATAACCGTCCACAGTCAGTAAGATTGGTCACTTATGCATCAACTTGAGCCGATATTCATTTTTATCAGGTTCTAACATTGTTTATGACTGGATGGTTGACGATTTATTTCAAATACTTTTATCTAGATGTTATTTCAACAACCTAACAAGTATTTAATATTTTTCAATAGTTGAGATCATGAGTCAAATAAAGCTGAACCACTGGGAAAACCTGGAAGCATTGGATGGCCGTTTCATTCTATTGTGGGACTCCTCAGGAGTGCGCACCCACGATCCCGCTCGCGGGATTCGAAACCAGGGTCTTCAGTCTCGCGCGCAAACACTTAACCTACTGGACTGCTGAGCCGGCATCCAACGGTGTTAGTGTCTAACATAAACCAAATCCACGAAGTTACTGAGGTAGATACTTGGCTCTACCCGACACGGATTAGCTCCACTGGTCGCGGCTTCTCACTAGAACTCCGAGAATTTCCTCACGAAACTAGTCACTAGTGAGCACACATGTTAATCATCAGTATAGGGGTTGTGGAGATCATAAAGTTTTTGATTGAGATCACGAATTGATTGATGTTAGACCACCGTTGGAAACCTGGAAGCACTAGACGGCCGGCTCAGTGGTCCAGTAGGTTGTGTTCGCGCGCGAGACTGAAGACCCTGGTTTCGAATCCCGCGGGCGGTATCGTGGATGTGCACTGCTAAGGAGTCCAGAAATAGGACGAAACGACTGTTCAGTGCTTCCAGGTTTCCAACGGTGGTCTAACATCATTCGGTTCATGATCTGAATCAAAAGATTTCAATATCGTTCCGAGATAATGAATTTTTATTAACTGAGTTAGTTAGGATGTGTGTCAGATATGCCCGAACATCGACTGCCTCTACAGAATATATTGGTTGGTGCGGAAGTAGGTTAAAAAATGTTATGGACGGGCAAACTGTGGCGTCCATTCATGAATTTATTCACTGTTTGTCTGAGTCGTATTGATGCAGAGTACTTGGTCTGAGTGCACATGATAACCGCTACCAGTAGTCGTTGGAAATGTCGAATGATATGTCTTAGAATCAATCACAGCGATGTAGATTCATTACCTCTTCATCTTACTCTGGATGTTGAGATTCATTATTCCCTTATACATACTTTTTCGTCCCATCTTCTTGAAAAATATTCTCAATATTTAGTCTTTCTCATTATCATCCGTATTACCATTGATTTGATTCCTTTGTTATTCATCTTGCTGCGCTAATATAGTTTGGAAACTTAAGATAAGGAATAATTTTGCGAAGGTGTTCTTTGATTATGACTAATATTCATGCCCAGTCAACCAAGCCTTTCCTTTCCTACATCACAATAATCTTGAAGATATTGTTATAATCCTATATCTACAGCTCAAACCTTATTCATCTAATCTTGAATTTCTATGTGAAAGCAGATGAATGTTATTTTTCTGCATCATTTTTTTCATTAATTCTTCAATTAACATCAGTGTATAATGGAATGTTACATTTAAATCTGATTGTATGTATTTTCCTATACAAATGTATGAATTACTATATTTTTGTAAGTTTGATTTTCGTTTACATACTTTTCATGTTTAACATTTTTTTCGAATTTTTCTTCTAATTCTTTTGTTAAGTTATATCATGATGGTTCAGTTAGAAAAACGTATTAAACAATTAATTCATTCTATAATAAACATCACCCCCTCCATTACTCCGTTTCATGGTTCTCATTAACTGAAGTTTATCAACTATTTAAACCAACTTATTGGAAGTTAATAAATACTTTTTGTTAGATTTGTTAAATTTTTTGTTAGTTATATTTGCTAAAACGAAAATTATATTGTCATGAATTCAAACTTTCATAACTCGTTAGTTGGTCACTGAGTAGTGGTCAATCTAATGTTAATCTAATCGTTTGTACTGATTGAGTTCTATCGTTTGAATTGCATTGTGACCACTAGACTAAGTGACTTGAAATCTTACGAACTATATTTTCATTTTATTTTGAATGAGTCGACAGTAATGACGTTTCTCAGCAAGAGGTACTTCGAATCATGAGGGATTTGGTGCTCCCTGTGGGATTCAAACACGGGTCACCTAGCTTCACAGTATGAGATGTTACCACTGAGTTATTCTGATTCGGATTTGTCTCTTATAGTATTTCAATTCCACATGAATAATTTGCTTGTGAGTAACAACTAATAAGAAACCTAGATCCAGGGTTACCTACCTAGTACCTCAAACTACTTGACATCAATTATATAACTCATTACCAACACATCTACAGTATACTGATCAAAGAACATAACATTAATGCTTAAAATGATAGATGCTGATTATATATAATAAAAATTAACCATGAAATTACTGATTATTATTATTAATTAATTCGAGATACTTTAATTCGTTTGTCAAATATGATTATTCAACACAAAACTAGATTCTTTTTCTATAAAATGTTTGTTTTTTTTGTCCCATTTTTCTCCTTCCCCCATCATATAGGTCAAATTATAATTCAAATGATCTTGGCATTAAAAATGTTTGCACTATTCCACCTATTTTATCTCCCGAAATTTTGTTTTCAAACAGTCTTGTTCAAAACCAACATAAAAGATGTTTGAGTAATAACAATAATAATAATAATATGAATATGAATAAAAACGTCAAATCGAATATCGGCAATGCAAGAAAAACAACAACAATAACAACCACTACTACTAATAACATTAATAATAATAGTATCTGTTCTCTTGGAATTAGTACTGATAATACTGGCAGTAGTAATGATAGTAATAATGATAATAGTGGTATTAGTGATAGTAATAGTAACAGTCTTAGTATTAGTAGTAATAGTAGTAGTAGTGCATCTATCACCGAGACTCTCACTAATTCTCCACGATGTTACAATATAACTGTTAAAAATATTAATTTATCACAATTATCTAATGACCAATCAAAAAATGCATCAAAATTAAAAAACAATAAATCTTTATCAAAAACCAATTCAGATATTTCATCGAAATGTTTTGATCGCGAAGTGATTATTAATCCAAACTTAATTAATGTACAAAAATCAAAGAAATTATGTAAGTTTTATTAACTTTCTTTTCGATTGTTCTGTACAATTCCAATTGTATTTCAACACGTAAACAAACACTGTTGTTTTATTTTTATATCTATTTCGAATTTTATCATTATGAAAGATATTGTTTTGTATAGTGTTCGATTTTGATAAGGATACATAAGTTCGAGCTAAACCGGCTATATGAATAAGTAGAATAAGAGTGGAAAAGAAGCCCTAGTTGAATAGTCGAATTGGCATGTATGTAAACTCATTCATGAATACATATAAGTTTCTGTAATTTAGAAAATTAAGCCATTGATTCCTTAGAAATTCAAACCATTTACTGCTTAATATGGTACAATTATCATTCAGTTGATTTCTCATTCGGCCAATGAAGCACATTTGCGTCAAAGAAAATATGTTTAACTTCATGTGGAATGATATGGGCATATATTTATGGCAAACAAAATTATATAATTAATTAATTCACCAGACATTTGTATGAATCACATTTCAAGTCTGAGGGCTACTGATGCCACCAAGCCGCCTATAAAGAAATAGTTGGAGCATGGTTCGAACTCGGCACTTAATGGCTGAAAGTCGCACGTTTTGACCACAAAACCATCTCTTAATTGGATGTGGACAATAATGATGGTCAAGTTGTGAGTTACATCAAGGGAGATGTGGACCTATTAATCGAGATCTCCAATATATGTGATCATAATCTATAGTTGAAGATCCGCTGTCAATTATCGCAAAATCTGTCGTTGAGGAGTATATGTATCTTTTATCCTACACTTTTATTTATATCTTTCTAATTTAATTTCCCTTGCTGATTTCAATATTTTCTGTGGCGTTTCGGTATGTTGGGTTGATGAGTATAATACCTCGATCTTAGGTTGTTCAGGAGCGAATGATTAGATCTTAATGTCGTCTTTGAGTTGAAGATTAAAAGCAAGAGTCAATATGAAAATCTACGTCGGTCATATCCATATATTGTACTTGTTCATTATCAGAATCGTAAATATTTGTAGCATGATTTCAATTTGATCAACCGGCCAAATAAATGATTGAAGTATTGCACAATACAAGGAAGCAACAAAGTAAGGGGAAATTGCTTAGCAGGGTTAGCCCATTCTGTATTTGATCGTTGGTGGTAGTCTTAGGAAAATCTGAATTTTTGCTTTTTTCTAGTTGACATTCGTCAGCAGAGTGTATCTGAAATCCTTAGGAAGCTGATAATCTCTGGAGTATCTAAATTTGCGTCACCCATCTTCGTAGACAGAGATAGTACCACTGAGCTGTTAATGTCATGCTTGACCTCCTATGGGACTAAAAGATTTACAAGGTTGGGACAACATTTCAACCTGATTGACAGGATTCGATAATTACCAAGGGACTAGATAAATACTAATAAGCTCACTACTCAGTGATCAACCAGTTGTAAATGTTCAATTCACGTAGAATGTCAGTTGCGGTTCAAACTGTTCAGTGTTAATGTCGCAGACTGTGGAGCTGGGTGGCTCAAGTTTCAATACCACAGAGAACACTAATTCTCTCAATGTTCCAGGTACACTCTGCTGACAAGTGCTGACTATCACGAAACTTGGGATTTAATATAACTATCGTCTAGACTAAACTTTGGAACAGTACAGAGGCTGATTATACCTCGGTCACTGACACTAATTTTGAACCATGCATATATGGCTTAGAAACTAACTTCTTGTGTCTATGGTCCCCATATATATGTGTATATCGAATCATTATGCATTTAGAACATAAAGTCAATACTTGTACGAATCAATAACCATGTCTAGATAATTCGAACATGCTGCATTTATACTAATTAAGATTAATCAAAGCTCAGTTAAAAGTATCAGTAACGAAATAGTTCAAATCTCTTTAATGATGATATCATGTCGTTTTATTGCTATTTAAAATCTATGACATTGACTTCGAAACTCTATTGTTCACAATGTCCCTTCGATCGTTCATGTCTTTGAGTGATAGTCCTGAACTATCTACTGGGACTTTTATCAAAATTTTATTTTGTTTTTGCTATTCATACTGTCGAAATTGAACGTTTTACAAGTCTAGTTTTGTTTACCTCGTCGGACTTAATTTTTCATGCTTTCTTTTTATTTCACTAATTCAGTATTAGACGATTCACCTGACTCATCTTAAGACGTTGATCAGGGAGTTTAACATATGTGCAAGTCATCGGGTTTGTATGAAACCCAAAGGCGAAGTGGTCGTAAAGGTTTGGCTTGTCGCCGAAGTTATATTTCATCCTGTCGTCTTACTCGCATTTCATTTAAGCTGCAGACAGAAAATCTCCTACCCGTCCCATGACATGGACACGTGACCTTATTTTGAGGCAGAGTATGATCATCTATTTGGCCTGAAAGATGATAAACTAAGCGAGCGAAGATTGAAGCCAGGCGAAACTTCTGGATTTTCGTAGCGATTCTGACGAACGAGTGGATCTTAGAAGATAAGTATTGAAGTTAGATTTATGTAACTACTTAGTACCCGGTTCTCTCAGAATAACTGACATTTTGAGGAGTAAACAGACTTACCAACATTCTATTTTTTCTGGATTCTGCATTATTTTGATCACTCACATCATGTACAATGAGATAATTGTAATAAATCTGGTCTCAATTCCCTATTGTGTAATCAGCACAAATAACTGAAGTTTTATAGATAACCGTTGAATTCGTCGCTAAATATCTTTTTTATTGTACTACATTAAATCCTATTCAAATACAAAACAGAATATTATTTAATAAAACTTAGATAGTTTATAGCCACATTTAGTTCACCACATTTTTCTTTTCTGTTGAAACTGAATGACTGATAAACGATCTAATATTGTAACTGATTAGTTCTGTTACTATATTTAAAAACATGTTCTATCAACGATATCTTATTGAGTTATCTAACATTTTATCAATACTTTGGTTAATACTTAGTCGTGGAACTAGAATTAATAAACACTAACAAAGTTGTTAGAACCATTAAGTTTCACCCAACAGTTTGTCAATTTCTGATACCCTTAAACAATATTTAATTTTTTTAAATACCAGCTAAATTAAATTCAAAATCACGTATTAGTCAAGGTGATCAGTTGAATAGAATAAAAGCAATGAGACGTCCAATGCAACAGCGTGTATCAGATTCCCAAAAACGCAGTAATATAAAATTAACAAACAGTAATAGTAATTTGAATCGTACCTTCAATCGTGCGGCAAGTACTTCAACTGATATACATGATTTGGATCGTGGTTCTGTTTCATGTACATCATCCATGACAAATATTCAAGATCAATTGCCTGGATCTACATTAACCTATTCATCTAGTCCTGACAACTTTAATAATACTAATTCGTTATGCTCAAACACTAAGAATAAAAAAAGTGGAGATATGTCTCCTATATATTCGGGTAATAATGATTCAAGAACTCAACCTGATACCTACACAAAGTGTACTCCATCTACTATTGTATCTCCAACTGTTCCACCACGTTTTTCTCGATATTCAACTCGTCAGTCGTCAAATCGTAACAACAGTGGTTCAATCACAGTTAAAGTACGGTGAGTGGCTGCATTTAACTAGGTATTTTGCTAAGGAAAGATGGATTTGAGTGATTTACTGATAACATAATTTGACAGAATTGTTCCAATCGATAGTTATTGTTATTTTTAACTGAATAGTTTAAATTACCAAGCTTTTATTGTCTTATTATGAGCAACATAAGTGACTAATTTAAATCGACATGTACACTAAACTTGTGTCGCTTGTGGAATAACTCAAGAAGCTTACTTATTATTGAAATAACCTATGACTGTACATTGTTCAAAATAGCAAGGATAGCTCTACAACCAAATTAATTAGCTAAAAGTATTATATCCGAACGAAGAAAAAATGAATGGTAACTGTTAGGGATTATCTATAAACTGTTATTACATATATTCCTATTGTATAACTGTAAAGTAACTAGATTGTGTGTATATTCGTATTCCCCGACCGTCGTTACTACCTTGACGTGGTGGTTGGGCTTACCTATCGTGATGAACCAACCGAGCTATACTGGCTGGAACAACCGTTCCTCGAGGTCCTACCATGTCAGACAGGTCGGTTGAAGAGCGGTAAGACTAAAGCAACAAACCCAAGGTCCGAAGGCGAAGTCGTACTGCTGACTGTACAGAGGTGTGACAGCAGTAAGGTGTTTCCTTCAGACAACCAGCGTGACAGCGATGCTGCCTTCCCACAAGGAGGGGTGGGGTTAGAAAAGGTCGACCCTAAAAATGTACACCTCGCCTTATCCCACGGATATCCGTTTCCAGCGGTAAGGTCCCAACAAGTACGGAGTTAACACGAAAACTACTCACAAAGGGGTCGTGTGTGACTGGCCTCAAGCAGTTGTCTCTTGGGCACTGCGGTCACGCTCTCAGGTCACCAAGACCACCTCTAATCCAATTTCCTTTCCAGGTACCTCCAGAAGAACTCTTCCACAGTAATCCACACTCTAATAGGGAATATAAGACTTTCTGGATAATTCTATACTGAATACAGAAGTTTAAAACTGAAAAGGAGTAAATGTGCTTTGTAGTGGTAGTAGTAGTAGTAACATATGGTGATGTAGCGGTACATTACAAGGTTAAAAAACTGAAAGCGATAACATTCAACCAGGTAACAGCAAATGTTATCGCGGAAATGTGAAGTAAGAAAAACTCGTCGAAGTTATCCTTTAAAGAAAGAACTAACATGTAATAATCAAACAAACTAGATAACTTGATCTCTTCTTAATAATAACATTCTCTATGCTTCAACGATTATTGAGCAATCAAACCTTAACAAAAAAATCAACTTAAAAATACATACAAATCTTCATACTGAAATGCAGTTTGATTTAATCAAAACAGCCAAAAATACAATTACTTTCATTCGCAACAGGAAAAAACAATTTGTGAAAACGATACCTTTAAATTATTACTACTATTAATACATTTCCAATTTACTTCAGACATATTTTGTGTCCTATTTACCAATCAGTCAAAATTACAGAAAATAACAGTTTCAACAATTAATCAATGGTATCATCAACAATAGTATTTTACCTGCCATGTAAATGCTCAATGATAACTGAAGAGTTATAAAAGCGTCAACATTTAAAAAGCAAAGTGGCATGTTACAATTTACATCCAGAAGTTGTCTTGGTTAGATAACCATTGAAAACCAGAAAGCATTGGGTAACTGTTTTTTCTTAGTAAAGGAAGGTGTGATAAACGGACTGTAAGAAATATCGAATGTGAACTGACTACCTACCCATAGTGTAGGAATTTTGACCAGAAAATCTGGTAGTCAATAACACATTGATTCATTTTCGTATTGCTTTGAACATAAACCTTCGTATGTATTGGCTAGGTATGAAAACTATATTGCTTGTGTGAAGAGCTGCAAAATATTTTATCAACAAAAATACTAATAAACCGAAACCCTCAAAATATTTTAAAAGATAACTGAGGTATCCGATATATTTCCTATATATAGTAAGCAACTCACTACCTATCACAAAGCTCAGATTGTCTGCCAATCACTCTAAAATATCAACACATATTACAGGAGTAAAGAAAAATAGAACTCTGGTCATTGACTCATTAAAAATGTCGACGCCATTTTAAGAAGTATGTAGAAGGAAAAATAAAGAGATATGACAGCTGGAAATCGAATGACATATAAAAGTAAGAAAACACGTTCGGAATTTGTAGTAGTACAAACGCTTGAATCTTTTTGGATCAATAAAAACATTTTTGGTTATATACATATATATCATGTCAGGTGGTTGGGAGTAGTAGACAAGAAATCCTAAGCATTGATTTTGTGCTAGTTTGTACTCGTCAGTGTTTACAAAACTCAGTGATAATATTTCAGGCTGTGAAATTAGTTCTTAAAATCGTATCTTACAAAGTGCATCAGTGAATCCGGATACGCCCTGCTGAAGAATATCGACTAACACGAAGTCAAGATTGAGGATTTCCTGTCAACTTCTTGTAACAACCTAAAACTCAAACAGACTGCACGGAGTATCGTGGATTGATTGAAGTCTGACTTCTACACCGCTGGATCCCAGTTCAGTGATCTAAAGGTTAGGCGTTTGTGAGTGAGATCAAATGTCCTGGTCTAGACTCCTGGTTGCAGGGTCGTGAACGAACACTACTGAAGAACCCTATACTGGGAATAATCAGTCGTCCAGTGACCTCAATTTCACAATGACTGTCTAACTTATATTAGTTTGCGATTTCAATGAAATATCGAGTTACTTAAACTAGTGGGTATACTGCAATTTAAACAGTAAAATTCGTTCGAAACCAAGGACTAGACAAATATATACAAATTTCCACTCACTTTATTGACAGCAAATAAACAATCCAACAATGTTAAGTGATAAGTAGATGCACCAAAAGAGGCATCTCTGAAAAAGATTCGGAAATATTTGGAAATTATACGATCAATTAACAGATAGAGAGATTGTAAAACAAAAAGGCAATAAAATTAATAGTTATTGTCAAGATTGTCACAAATTCAATTTAGCATTCTTCATCTCTAGTCAAAACATACAGAAAATCAACTTCAGAACGAAAGTGATGGAAAATCACTTTTCATCTCATTTAATTTCATAGAATAGTAGTAGTTAACAAACTTCATCATTTTTGTACACCAATGAACTTAATTGAATTGTTAATTTATTCAAATCAATTGTTTTTATGAATAGTGCATAACGTAAATCAGATTATCAAAAACTGCAGTAATATAATCCACTTCAATATTTCTGACAAGTAAATGAAATTACAAACAAATAAAAGCATTAGTATGTAATTATTCATAGTTGCGAATAACTTTTAATCTAACTACTTGTCATCAATAGATCTTTCAATATAACATGTACAAATATTACTAATTAATCGGTTCTGTAGACTTGAACTCTGACCTTATAGTTGCAGATTATGTGTATTGTTAACTGGTGAATAAAAATTACTCATTGACTGGAACACCTTCAATTAAAAGCTTTGACATTTTTCATTGGAATTCGTATCCCCAAATTTGAATATGTTCATTTATAATATGTAACAATGAACTGATGTTCGTAAAATTGAAAACAGTAGTTAATTTATTGAGCATAATCTTTCGACTAATTGTAGCAGATTAATTCAAAATTCATATAAACCTTCTTCTCTTATTGTGTCCAAGAGACTGTATAATATTTAATAAAGAGAATTTTACAGGTTTGTAAATTATCCTGAATCCAAATAATTTCGATGATCTAACTGTAACAGATGAGAAATTTCTTATATGAAATAAAAGTTTTTTTTTCTAGTTTTATAAGACAATTTGAGATTTGATAATAAGTTACATAGGTAGTTTCTAACATTTCATAAATGTTCATTATTTTCGAAATTTAGAAATTAGTTCTCATTTCCTTAGAAAATTTATATACTATACCTCTAACTTTTTCAAATAACGATTTTACACAAAAGCATTCATGAGTAGTCAAGCTGTTTGCCAGTGTGGCTTAGGATTCAATGTGGTTTAACTTTATAACACACATGTTTTTTTGTAAATGGTTTCCGTTAGAAATTTGTTTTGAAACTATTACCCGAAACAACTGAACCAAACTTTATCTTTCATCTGTTCAAAAGATATCTTTCTCAAGTTGTATATTAAATTTCTTGTAGACACGTTCATATGGTTTTAGTTATTATATTGTGTAAGCCAAATTTGTCTCAGTATACTTCTGATAATCTATTCACTAAATATGTTAAATGGTTATTCGATGATTGGACTATTTTGATTTGGCTAGCGAAAAAATAAATCTACATCAAACTAAATAACCCTATGATAAACAGAAGACTCGTAAAATTTCTAATCAAATTTAAATCATAAAACAAATACTATATATTTCAATTAAATGAACTATTTTAACTCAAAAATAATATATTTCTCTAAACTTGTGATTATTGAGGAATCTAGTTTTTTTTAAAAAAAAAAAAAGAAGACGCGCCTCTCTGATATTTTCTTGTTCTGTATAAAGCGAATGATTTCAGCAGTATTAAAAAAAACTAACCTCAAAAAACCATTTGAAGTAACTAATAGTAATCGATTTACCGAGTCTTATTATTTTCCTCATAAATATCAAACCAATTTATACACATATGTAATCAATCAATAAGATTTCATTAGACTACTTATTTTCTAAACTAGTTTACAATCAAATCTTATATTATCCAAATAATTCGAGACCTTTGTAGTGTTCTTTTCAGTATCATGTAACACACATATACGTATTAATTTTCCTCCTATTATTTCTTCAGAATCAATATTATGATGAACTTGAGTATATAAAAAGCTTGATAATTAATATAAGGTAAATATTGATGAATTATTGATCCACAGAGTTTTTAAATTTGAAAACAGAAGCTGGAAATATGGTAACTTCAATTGACGCGGCATGATTGATCACTAAACAAAATTCCTTTCATTAAATTCATTTATTGCTTGCTAATCTATCAAATAATCCATTTAAATTGAACTGATATCTAAACTTATGTAGTTCAGCTAGTATCATTAACAATAGAATAGTATTAGCTAGAATTCTAAAGTTAAAAATATACAATTTTCCAGCAAATAAAGAAAAACAAAAGTGAATTGTTGTAAAATATGACAAATTAGATTGATTATTGTTGCTATTTAGGAGAAAGTACAAATTTAGACTATTCAACTACAAGATATTTAAGTTGAAATGAATTAACAGAAAACATGTAAATAGATAAATGGCTGAAACAGCACAGCAAATCTATAAATGGTACGTGTTCAAATAAAGATCAATTAACAAACTATCTTCTTGCTGGGGAATCTGATACCAATAAAACTGATATTGTCAAAAATAATTAAGAGTAATGACAATTACAGGTCTTCACCACACATATAATCAATGATCTTTAGAAAATGCATATTTATCACGTAAAATCCGTGATATGAGTTTGTAAAATTAAGAACATGTGATGTTGTGAAATTACATGAGAATATGAATACAAACATGAAATCATGCTTATATTATGGAGAAAAATTTCATCGACTATTATGATAGAGGTGATCACAATCAGTTGCTAATGGAGGTAAGGATATCAATTTGACTGCTGTACTAAGTTACATTATTCAACAGTTATAAGTAATCATTATTACAATTTATTGTTTATAGCATAAAAACAATTTTTTCAGCGGGTCATCAAAAAATGTCCCAAGTAAAAAGAAATGACTATCATGAAAGTAAATCCGATTGGGAGATTATGTACTAGTAATAGTAATAAGAAAAAGCATATTACAGGTTATAATTTAAAATAAAAAGATAATGTTCACAGAGAGTGGTGATGGTTAGAATCTTATAAAAATTATTAACTATCTCAAGATTGCAGATTTATCTTCTTGACAACTATCGAATAACAAGAAATCTATGTCTAGAACATACTTTCTACTACCTGGCAACATTCAACATAGCTAAAGCATATTTCATTTGTTTCAAAAAACGATATTGTTAAAAAATGAAAGGACTCGCTGGTCACCTGTGTGCTTTTATCATTCAGTTCCAATAAAAGCCTAATTATATTTGAGACGAAAGTTGCTGAAAGTAAACCGCTTTAAGACTTTTAAAATCAATGTCTCTGAAATACCGAGATGAAAAGTCAAAATTAAACTGATTTATTTTGATTGAGATCATGAACCGATTGATGTTAGACCACCTCAATCAAAAACTTAATAATCTCCACAACCCCTATACTTGTAAATTGATTCACTCATTATGATTTTTGTTAAACATTACTTCCGCTTTAATTCAATGTGATGAGTACTCAGTATAGTATTTGTTTCATTTCCCCCTATGACATTTTATTCTGTATCACATACGATGTTCTTGTATTAAGTTAACATAAACTATATTCAGCATATGATTTGTTATAACTAAGTATTTTTCATATATGTTATTTCAACCTAATTATTAATCAAAAACGGGTGTATGAATCAATATATAAATGAGTGTTATTCGACTAGACTTGTCGTGGTTGTTCGTGCTTCTGGCTGCTTGTGGAATATATTTCCCTCTTCGAACTTAGACTTCTCTCTCAACTTAGCTGGGCTGGAACGTGTCGGATTAGCTAGCTTATCTGTCATTGTGTCACAGAGTCTTCGTTCTGTTCTCAGATTAGGTGAACTCGTAATCCCTTCAAACATAGCATTTTCGGAAGTCTCATCAGTATTCGTTAATAAACCATTGCAATAACTTCATCATATAAGTGAATCGGGCATTCAATTTCACTATAAACTCTCAGTACAGACCAGTCACCTTTAAGGCATTTGTTAAAAGATAGTTAACAAAAAGCTCCATTTAGCCGAAAATTGTACCAGGTCATAATATTCATTTCATGAAAAAGAACGGCTAAAGGGTGCAAAAACTATGCAACAAAATCCAAGCTATATACATGATGCTCGGGTTTATTTGATTTATTACTATAATTTGAAAGACACACGATTTGTGAGAAAGGAGTATATGAATTGCAAAATCATAGACTTGCATATTACTCTGGTGAAATAAAACATCTGCTGATTCAAACGATGCGTAGTATAGACAGACAATCGACGTTCAGTGAATGGGTTTCAAGTTATAAAATATAAAGTTCTTACTGCGATGTTCATCACAATAATCCTCGTTAGTTACATATTTTTTTTGATAAAAAAGATTGGTTTAGCGAAGAATTCTCTGTTCGGCGAATTTATTTTCAAAACTGTACAATCGCAAATATATATACTTATTTTAAAAATATGGAACGCTTCACGATTTTGCGTGTCATCCTTGCGCAGGGGCCATGCTAATCTTCTCTGTATCGTTCCAATTTTAGTATATGTACAGCCGAGGCGAGTACTCGCTTGCGACTGAACAGCTTTGAAAATGAATTCGCCGAAAAGAGAACTCTTCGCTGAACCAATCATTCTTATTTAATGTCTTAATGGGTGCATTCCGTTTATATATTTTTTTAAAACCACAACAATAATCTCCAAAGGTAATTGAGTTATTTTGTTTTATTTATATATACATAAGTATTTTCACTGATATAAGCTACTGCGAATAGTATAACACCACAGTATTTTAAAATTCCAATAGTTTTAAGACGTTCTGCAGTTCAGCAAACTAATTTACTCCATTTTTAACAACCAACACTCAAAAAATTTATCTTATGTAGATCAGATGACCTTACAGTGATTTGTATGGCAGATATGGCCGTTATTATATTATCTACCACTTCAAGTCTAAACTTTGCACATAAAAACAGTATGTTCAGTCATTCAATCACCCACGGTCTTGAACTCCATTTCCATAAACCATCGTCTTTTATTCTATTATTTTTACTCTTTTCCAATTATTTC